GGGGGGGGGGCGTCACGGGGAGATGTAGTTGACGTTCCACTGCCGTGTGTGGCCTCCCGGAGTGTCATGCCGTGTGCGCTGAGGGTCTCCGCTACTCCATCTATCCATCGGCGGCGCGGTCTCCCTCTGGCCCTTACTCCTGAGTGCCTGGCGGTGTCGGCCCTTAGGGCTGGCTGGGTGGTCGGCATTCTCAACAGGTGGCCAAACCACTGGACCCTTTGTTTGGCAATGAACTGGAGAACTGGTTTGTTGCCAACCAACTGTCTGATGACTTCGTTTCTGACCCTGTCCCTCCTTGCCTTCCTTGACTAAATACACATACAGTACACATACATACTCCTGTATTGCAAAACTACAGTGAAGCTACAAAGATCACGAACTTAAATGGCAGCCACTTCTTCAAATTTAATTGGTATGTTGCTGTCTTAAATCCATCCTAAAAACATAGACCACGAGGAAGTAGAAGATAATAAAAACAACTAGAAGTATATTATACCTACGGTAAATTCATTTACTTTGGCAGGGACTTTATGTCACAGTAGGAGGGTGTAGTGAAGTCATGTTTTGAATTCCCTGTTCAAACAATGGAAGTATATTTCAAGTGTCATGATTTTGTGGTGGAAAGCGGTCACTGGGAAAACAGAACCACAGCAAGATTTTCAGTAAGTGATGCTAATATTGTTATACCTGAGCTGTGTTGTATTGTATATTGTATAACAGAGACAGATAACGTTACATGTAGATGTACCTCAGCAAGGAACTTCTCCAGCACAGGCAGCTGCAGCTGGTTCTCCGCCATGGTTTGAGTCAGACTCTCCAGGTTGATCTGCGGCCGGTGTCTCCACATTTCCGGCAGGTCCGCCAGCCTGTCCAGGTCCAGCCTCTCCCGGGGAGTCACCACCTCACACAGCAGCTGCAGCAGCGGGTTGTTACTGAGCCGGTCGTCGGTGTGTAGGGCTGCGTTAGCCTGCTGCAGCATGGCGTCGAGACCCTACACACGACAAGGCGAGAGTCAGCATATTGTACATCATGTACAATGTACTAACACATAATGTAATCATGGATCCGGACATTTCCTTGTCTTTAAAACCGTTTCTGCAATCTGATATCTTGACATCTTAAAATCGATTACTCCAGCTGTACTAGATTTTGTTTTATTAATTTTATTCATTTTTGGTACAACCAGAAAATTTCCATCCTTACTCGGTGTAGGATGGGGTTGACACATCTGACCATGAAGGCTTCCTCCCACTGCCTCCGGCTAGCCTTGGAGGACCAGTCACCTGCAGCCGCTAATGTGGTGTAACAAGGGACAATATTAGGTACAGTACTACTGGTACAACATAAAGTAACTACACTATAGTTACTACTGGTACTGGTTAACAGTTATCATAATGCCAACTGGATGTTTCAAACATAAAAGTAACAAGGAAGGATATTGCGATGGGTAAAGTAATATTTCCAGTATTACAGAATACAGTGCACAATGTACATCATGGCCAGTAACAATCAATATTTAATACAGATATATACTGTCTTACAATTCATGTACATGTATATCACTTATCCTGAAGAAGGGAATATTGGTTGTTGAAAATTTGAACCTTGTGTACCCTTGTGTTGGAATCAAGTTCAGCATTGTAACCAGATATACATGTAAGTATATTGCTAGCATGCTGGTCGAAGCTGTAAGTTACATGTACACATATAGCTAACTTAGTACTTCAGTACTAAGTGCTTGCTTCAACCACTTATATATGACACTGTTCAGAAGTACTAAAAGAATCTTGATTGAAGATTGAAGATATCTATTACTGGTAGTTTGGATGTCAATGAAACACTGCACTACAATATCATGCTAGCATACTCTTAAATTAATTGTACCTATTAAAACTTGAAAATTCTATTATTTAAGTATGTGCTGACCAAATGTCAGCACATACAATTCAATGCAAAAATAACTGGTTGCCTTCATCATACAATGCTGCAAAATTCTGGTCCAGGACATGTTTGAAGTTTTGTCCTTCTCACCTTGTGCCCCCGGTGTGAGAAGGTTGTGCAGTATGAGGTGCATGAACAAGGCGGCATCGTCTGCACTCCTGCCAAGGGCACGGCCCAGCTGCTGAAGGTCAAGTTCAAGGTGCTGCCACAGGAACAGCGAGGGATTGGGCGGTCTGGGGTCAATCACATTCGCAACACCCTAAAAAACATGGAGGTAAAAATATGATGGTAGGAATGTTGCAGAAGAGTGACTTGTATCCCCATCACCAGTCTTCTATTGCCTGAAAACAAAATTTTGGCAGAACGTACTGCATCTGCACAAAACCAGGAATTTTCATGGCTTTCATTTGTGTTTGGTCAACGTTGCACTGGCAGATGGTATCTTTTCTGACATAACATTTGAAAACTTTAGACAGGATGTCATCCTTAAACATGCAAATACCACCTAATAACGGAGATATTTTTTAAAAAGTATTTCCCACAAATGTTGTGTTGGAAAAGATATTGATTGCAAAGGTCAAAACTCTGATGCAACGTCCAAACATCCAACAAAAATCGTAAAAAATCTGGATAAAAAACAGTATATTCAGTCAACGTGCTACCTATGAATTGCACACTTACTGACTTACTTATCGATGAAACAGAGAGGCACCACACAATGGATAACCTACCTGATTGTTGGTTGCAGCCTTGACCATGGCTGCATGCACGACCAGTCTGACCACACAGGTGGCCACGACAGACAAGGCTCGCTCAGCGATGGGTACAGCCGGCCTGTTGGCTGCAGGGCCCAGGATGTGACCAGGTCTGGTGGCATCATTGCTGAAGAAATCAGGGAAGAAGAAGCAAATTTAAAAAGGACTTCAGTGATTCAGTAAACATGCTGAAGCTGGTTTATCATCATTCTACAGACTGCAACAACGATGCGATAAAAAGTGTCACTTCATCCGAAAAAAGAAAATGGACCAGCACCTCTCTCATTTGCCAGTCCTGTCTAGTTAAGGTCATTGTATCCCATTACAATCTTCTGTGTGAATTACATGGTACCACGACCATACCACTGTGTCTAAGGCATGGTATTGGAAGGTGGAGCCTATCCCTCTCCTTCCTTCTTTTATCCCTCCAGCCAAAGTCGGTTATGCGTACCCACCCATTTTATATAATGTACCTGGGTACATTAAGGGAAGTCATGCAGTGCCCTTCCCTAGGACACAATCTCTAGCTGAGAATGCAAAGGAATCGATGCCATATCGCATGACCTCCCAATCTTATGTCTGCTTACGTTACCTTAACCACTCTGAGTCAGCGTTGGACTCGGAACCAATAGCTATAGGTCCCGGGTTCGATACTCACCGTGGCCTGATGTTGTGCCCTTGGGAAAGGCACTTTACATGACTTCCCCACCTGTACAGTGGAGTGACGCCTACCGAGCCTCTTGGGCTAATCTGTCTAACCGTATGCTAAAAATACGCAACAGATTTGGTGCCCCGATGTGTCAACAACAGCACATTTGCCACAGAGACCCGTTCAATTTATTTTTTGCCACTCAGCCATTGGAAACACAAGTAACTAATAAGCCATACTAAAAGATATTAAGCAATTTGAAATACATTATAATTAAGTATTCTCTCACTTTCTTGCAGCCTGCATGCGCCCTCCCTGGGCAGGACGGTGGTTAACCCCTCCAATGGCCGCCCCACAGTCAGGACAGCGGCTTTGTTCCATGGGCTGACCACACTCTCCGATGGGGTAAGGGTGTCCATTAGAACACTGGTACCAGTGGAGCGGCTGTGCTTCACGCTCTGCCAGTGCCTGACGTGCTTCCATCAACACGTCCTCTGGCATAGTTGGGAAGTAGGAACCCTAAAATAAGCAAATATTTTGTAAAAAAAAAATGGACTGAAACAGAACTGCATTCCACGTTTTCTTACATAATTATGCTCCAAGTTATTTGCCTGTAATACTATGTATGCATGACATTCTGTTATGTACTCAAGGACTCCTGAAAAACAGGCCATAGTCATGAGTGTGATCTACTGGTAAAATAAAATAAAATGAAAATTTAATGATATTAAAACCACAGGTACACTATGTACATTGTACCTCAGAGAATTGTGAAACAAGGCACACTATACAATCTAACAATCACTCCTAATTAAAATATTACATGAATGCATTGAATGTTAGGTTGATTTCCTAGTTCTGTTTCTTCTTCTAAGCATCAGTATCAAATCTTGTCACCTTGCCATACATATCTAAATTTGGGTGGAAAACAAAAACTGTAATACTGGTACTTACAGCAGTGCATGAAAGTTAAAAGATCTGTGGTAGAGTTACATGTACAATCATACATATGTACATTGTGTATGTACATGTAAAATGATTCTGAGCATTACTACAGTAAGATAATAATTCCTTATTGAACACTCTCTGATAAAACTTACAGCATGGTTCTGTGTGTTCTGTAGGAGGGTCTGGAGTGGCAGTAGAACACCTCCCACACCTGTACCTAGAACAGCAGCAGTGTGGATCACTAGTGCAGACAGGGTCCTCTGGATAGGCGGCTGGTTTGGTGTCACTGAAAGGGCAAGATTACCACCACCCTAGGAGAATACAAGGGAAAAGTATATAACACTGGAACAAAAACTTGAAGAAACATACATATTGCCAAGCAATTGCATGGTCTTCACATGGTCTTTACATGGTCTAGCACAACAAACTACAACTACAAAAAACCCTATTCTATTCTAACTTAAATTCATATTCACAATATGTGTGATCAGCCCCTCCAACTTGCTACATAATGTAATTCAACACCACAGGGTGTCTGCTACAGCACGAGTTGCTATAATAATAAAAGTGACAGATCCAGGTCATTGACCTTACATGTTTAAAGAAAAAGAAATCGAGCAAAGACAATATGCTTTCCTTCTGTGAAGGTTAACATAATATACATGTACAAATGTACCGCTATGATCTTATTATAATTATAATAATGAATCTTTCAATTCACGTCAAATTTCAACTTCAGTCTGACATGTAAGACAAATTTAGCAGCACTTCTATTGTCCAGTGTGTATTGAGAACCTCTTCAACGGATAAAAACATCACTGGTGTGTTCTTGTACATTGTGTACTCACCTGGTTGTTTGTCAGCAGTTCCATAGCGAGCTGCTTGTTGGTGAGGACAGGAGAGTCGTGCAGGTACTGGTGTGAGACTGTGATGTAATCCTGGGACGGATGGCGGGCCTGGTTGGTGTTGGCTCGGGAAACCGTGACCTCCCGGTACAACGCCAGCAGGAGCTCAACTTCTCGCACGTTCTCAGGAATGTTCATAGCCTGATGAAACCCCGTAAACAGGCCCTTCATTAGCATGTCAGAAGTATTACAGGAAAGTTACAAATTCGGAAATAAATCTGGTAGGTACACATTGTTGGAAAACTATTGTGAAAGTTACTCTGTGTAATCATACTACAATATCAATGTTGAACTTTATTCCAACACAATGAGGCCAAAGAAATCAAATTTCCAATGACCACATCTTTATCAGGATAATTAATGAATGTAACTTCCGAATGTTAAGTCGGAAAACTGTACACTTCTGAGTTTGGAAAAATGCAATTACATGTAGGCATAGATTGAAGAATTCCCATGCTCTTGTACTACCAATTTGTATTCATTTCTGTAGCAGCTGTACAATGTACATTACACAGGCAAGCTTACAACAGCTGCCTACATAAAAACAAGACATAAATTCATCATACATTCAACAATGCAATAGATAAGAGACTAACCTGTAGGACATTGTTGACGGCGTCCATGTTCTTACTGACCATGGACTTGGCCAGTTCTTCCCTCAGCTGTCGGTAGTCATCTCCACACACGATGAAGCGATCTGGGATGATCTCCTCCTGGACACGGAAATAGGCATTGGTTTGTCAAACTGCTTCTTGGTCTATGATACCCATCAAACAGCTCAATCAGTGTTTATGTCAGGGTAGAATTAAGTTCTGATTCTACCCTGCAGTTCTACCAGTTAGGCCACACTGATTTAATTTTATGGATGACATCCTCTGGGGACCACAAAACTAATGCGAGAGGGCGAAAAAAAAAAAATCCAGCCAAAAAAAATAAGCTGCTTAACCACAGGAATACAAAGCCGGTAATGCGGATTGAACCACAGGACACAGTGACTGCATCAAATAAATAAGTTTTTATTTGCAGGAGGTAGATGTAGATCATCTTATTCTGGTCTCATCCTCCTTCACAGCTTCCTCCTTTGCAGTTTCCTCCTTCGCAGCTTCCTTCTTTGCAGCTTCCTCCTTCGCAGTTTTCTCTCCCTACAGAAAAACGTAAAAGGTAGATAATATACATTATATATACAGTATATAGTTTATAGTAGAAGTGCATACAACAAGGGGATTGAATAGATGAAATGTAAAAGGTAGAGCAGAAACAGTACCCACCTGAAAGTTAGTGGTCCATCTTCTTCCTCTCTAGATCTCTTCCTCTTCAGCTTTCTCTTCACTCTTGTACGCTCTCCAACACCAGCTTTGCACACCTACAGAAAAATGACATGGTATGCAAAATTGATTTACTTGGAATGTATGTTTCCAAATAAAATTGAAGTACAGTGTATTGTAAGTTACAACATTACTAATGCAGGTGAGAATGAATGTACAATTAAAACATAAGGTACACAATAATATTTAACCTACCTGGCACACTGGGTGAATGCACTGAAACTCTTGCAGTTTCTCTGGAGGGATGGGAAGCGTGTTTGTTTCCCCACACATCCAGCAGACCAGTGGCAGACTGGTCAGTGCCCTAGACTTGACTTGCACAGAGTAGTAATACACCTGGTGCACTACATGAAAGAGCCCTGCACAAAACGGATGTGAAACAGAGAAATAAAAATCATTTTTCAAAGAGGAAATTTTGTGAAAATTTGCGAGAGCTCAATATTTAAAAAAAAACACCCAACAGAAAATAAAAAAAACTTGCATGAAGAAATGCATCTTGTTGGAAATTTTCCATATGATTACAACATTATAATCTACATACAACTACTGTAAATCATTAACAACTTTATTTTGTCTGTATCATAACACGTGTACGCGCCCCTCCCCATAAATTTTGCTGCATTCCCAGATTCTCGATCAAAATCAGAAAAACAAAAACAAAAGAAAAAAAAAAATAACTGAACTATTCTTACCTCAAAAGCTGACTTCTGCTGACAATCTTCGGCTTTAGTTGTTGCAGGCCAGTTTTGTCAACAACAATACGTACAAAACAGCCGAACTGAAAAATGGCATGGCCTGACCCACTTAAAGGCCACCTCAACTCCTCTCCCATTTCTCTCATCGTTGTGGCCGCTCTGGAAAAGACGTCTGTCCGGGCGATACTCGCTGGCTACCACAAGTCGCTCGTAAATCTAGGCAAACGTTACATCCCCCTCGCCAATGTCGATGGCATACCATTCGACAACAACGCCTCCAGTTTTCCTCTGCACTTTGACGTAATTTTTGAGGAGGACGCTGCCGCCATATTGCAAACTTCCCGGTTTACATTGTTATATTGTAGCTAGTACGCATGTGCAAAAGGTTCATTTACGACAAAATTGACGTTTTGCGGTAGTACAAAAGAAGTTTTACGATAAGCCGCCCTTTTGCGGCATTCATGAGTCGGCAGTCTGTACCGAGTTCCAGCCGAGTTCCGGAGTTCCGTGAAGCCTCAAAAGACATGATATTTTTTTTTTTTTGTAGAACAAGCGAAAATCAATGCGCGCGCGGATGTCATCCATAAAATTAAATCAGTGTGGCCTTAGTAGATCCTGATCCGCAAAGTTTGCTGGCAGAGACTCCAATCAGGCGTTACAGGTAGTTTACAAAATTTACATTGTAAATATCAAGACAATTCCATAATTGATCTAAAGTGGCATAAATATTGGACTTTTAAGTGAGTAGCTTATTAAGTTAAAAGTTACAAAATGTCCCTTCACTCCATTACAGGCTATACAGTAACTGTAATTCGATCTTAGTTGTAGTAGACATATGAAACTCCCTGTAATTTTGTCAAATCAATAAAAAATTCATCATGGTGAATAAAATCTGAAAGCTGAATGTTATTCAGATTTCTGATATAGTTTGCTTTAAAAAAATTCTGTTTTCCATGACAATAATTAAAGACCAAGATTCAAAATTTCATTCTGTTATACCTAGTAGGAATACTACAATGTACAAGTTACTGCACCAACCTTCCCACCCCTGGCCTCCGGTGGGATGATCCATTGCAGGTGCTGATGCAGCTGTGCCTGTTCTGTCACGCTCAGCAGGCTGTCCATGCCACAGCTGCGGTACAGCTGCTTCAGGAGGAACACCTGCGGCCATCTCCACTCCAGCTGTTCACACAGCCGCCAAGCCTGGTCCAACAGCCTCTTGGTCAGCCTGTTGGTGTTGAGGGAAGGGTCAACTATCATTGTCTTTAAAGGCCAAGGTTTCCCAACTATCAATTAAACTTCATTTGGTAGTCATTACAATGTAATTTACATAGTATTACAAATAAAGATTGTTACTCTTAGGAACCAAAAAAATGTTTTAATGTTCATCCTTTCCAGTCTTTGTACCTTCAGGTTGCTAATAAATGTACCTCCTTCACACAAGAGGCAAAATGTACTTGAATGCAGTCTGAATGAAAAATTCTGTGCACATTTCTGGATATTTGAAGTGCATTCTAGATTCTACATTCTAAATGTTTTGAGCAAACTCAAAAGTCTTTCCTGGTGAATTCGAAGTGGGAAACTCAAAGAACATAATTCATACTCAGGCTGTATTCTACCTGCAGTAGGACTGCTTTCTAAATGTGGCACAGTTTTGCCAACTTTTTATTCTGCCTGGTTCTGGTTGACTCATGTTGATTCAGAAAAAAGAGTGAAGGGGCCTTTAGACTTTGCTTTCAGATGACAAGACAGATAAAAGTTCACCTGTAATGTGTCCTCTTCACCAGTCTCTTCTCATCTTGCACTGAGAGAGCCCTTCTCCCATGGTACTCATGTAGGAGCTGTGCAGCGACGGACAGTCCAAACCGAATGTTGGCGATGAACAGCAGTGTGGCCACGGACAGACCCGGAAGGTTATGCTGTGCCTGCCTGCCAGCCTGCTGTAGTTTGGACACAGCAACTTCAAGCATAGCTGTCTCTGTGTCGTGAGACTGGGCAGCTTCTTGCTTGTAAGAGTCCTGTAAAGTTAGAACATAAAAAATACAGAGACTGAGTCACTTGCTCAACTTTGTCATCATTGTTAACTTCATGCAAATTTTGGACTGTTAATTAGTATACTCTTTCTATACATTATGATTGCTTTATGTTGCAATTAGCCCTCAGGCATGAAGTCACAAAGTAAAATTATGTACACGATTTAAGTCCTTCCTGCAAACATTTACACGGAACATATGGCAGCACCCATCTCTGTTTGTGTAGCCCTTGGGCCACACAGTTGGAAGGCTAGTCCACTGGTAGTGGTGTGTGTTTAACTGGCATACATTTGTACTGTTCCCAAATGCTGAGTGCTAAGCAGAGAAAGCTGGCACGTACATTTTTGTGCCATTTTTAAAATATTTGATATGACTTGGCCGGGGATTAAACTTCCACATGCAAGGCAAACTGTCTATTTAGTAATCATAAGCTGTTGGCAACCATTGTAACAGTAATACTAATTCCATATTTAACCATTAAAATCTTAGTTGAGTTTTGAGAAATCTTTGACTATATTCTCTATTAGGCTGAATTCATTTGTGTGCTTTGGTAGTGCAAACATACATACATGTATGTATTTACCTTATGTAATGGTCTTGATAAGTTGTACATGTAGGTCCACTGTATTTTGTATAATTTACTACTAATAATAATATTATAAACACTGTGAATAAAACCATTATCAACAGGTATTTGTAGCGAGATGAAATGTATTGGTAAAGGTTGTCTTACCTCCATGCATTGGATGAAGATGACCAAGAGTTCAATGACCTCTTGCTTGTCCTCCACAAAACCTCGGGCAGCCTGGAGGTACCTCTCCATGTGATCTATGACTTCCTGGGAACTATAAAAAGATAACTTAATTAAGCACACATTAAGCACACATTGTACCAAAAACCAGAAGTCAGTAGAACAAACTGAATCTGGCTGTGCAAAACCACGGTTTGTATTGGATGTTTGGTCAACATTGCATCTTAAATTTGTCTGTTGCATATCTTTTCTGACACAACAATTAGAAACTATAGATGGGGTATTATCTTTATATACATTAACACAACCTTAAGCCTATGCATGCACGTTACATGTATGTCCCAGATTTTGTATGTCCTATTGAAGCATTGGGGGTTATCATAGGATGCCTAGGCCAGTTTTTGCCCTGTAGCATCATACTTTTTCTGATATCATAATCAAAATAAACAAAAGTCTCACTTTGCTCGGAGCAGAAGTTGCAGTAGGAAGGAGCGGATGACGGGTGTCTGGTCGATGCAGTCATCCTCGAATGGCGTGAACTTCTTGGTTTTGGCAGCAGTTCCTTCTTGGCTCTTTCTCACCACATAGTTAAGGAGCATCTCCACCACACCTGCCTCTGGAGGCGTGCCGCCAGCGAAACAGAAGCGAGATACCAGCTCCATGAAGAAAGAGTTGCAGCAACGTCTGTAGGCATTGTGCTTCTCAACTGCATCCCTGTCATTGCAAAAATTACCACAAAATTTACATAAAACTATAAAATTAAGGTTACATTCACAAAGCAAATTGTTTACCTTTCCATATGGTCTAGACTAACTGCTTTCCTTATCCTCACTCAAACACATTCATATATTAATGTTATTAAATATCATATAGTAACCAGCCCCTCCAATGCTGTCCCACAACTTACTACATAATCTAACCCAACACCACAGGGTGTCTGCTACAGCACCAGTTACCATGGTGACAGGTCCTTGATTTTATTTGTTTGGAGAAGAAGAAACAGAGCAAAAGCTGCAACATGTTTTTCTTCTGCAAATTGAGGTATGAAGTGTATTCTAAAACCTGTGGCATGTACAAATGTATAAATGAAATTCAATTCATTTTCTGCACAGATATTAGACTAAATGATAATAATACCTGCATTCCAAGGTAACGGTACACTGGAAATCTTCAGGCACTGCAGCACGGCACAGTGGACAGCTCTGTCTGTCAGGAGTCAGCCATCTCCGCAGGCACTGTTGGCAGCCGACATGGTCACACGGCAGCTTCACTGGTTCCCTCAACCCCTCTTTACAAACCATGCAGTCTCGAACCCCTCCACTGCAATAACAGCAATGTTTTTCAACAAATGAATTATGATGCTGTTAACTAACATATTGTAAGGCCACACTGACTTCATTTTATGGATGACATCCTCTGAAACTAGTGCGCGCGGGCGAATAAAAAAAAAATCCGGCCAAAAATAAAAATGGTACTAAACCACAAGAATACAAAGTTGGTACGTACTTTGAATTAGCGGCAGTACAACGTATACGACAAGCTGGCACATGCTTTTCTTTTGCGGAATTTATGAATCAGCACTGTACTGAGTTCTTGAGTTGTGGAGCATTGGTAGCCTGGGTGCCCGGCTCCGTATTGTCGCTAACTACAATTGACTACTCAGGCCTAGAGCCAGGCCGGACCCTCTGTGGACGTGATCTTTTTTTTTTTTGAGAACAGGTGAAAATCAATGCGCACGGGGATGTCATCCATAAAATTAAGTTGGTGTGGCCTAAATGACACAAGATCATATTTGTGTACACGTACAAGGTCATATTTGTGTATTCAAGGATGACATTCTATACTTTTCAAAAGTCTGCAAAGGGAAAAATCCTGACATGTAGTCTACGACACATGATAAGGAAAAGAAATGAATCACCTGAAGTGCTTGATCCCGGCCTGGCTATTGCAGGATTTCAGGAACCTCTCAACTTTCTTCATGGTCTTCACACTCTTAAAGTCAGTCTGAGGTTCATTGCTGAGGACCTGTGGGTGAGTGATTGAATATTAAATAAATTTGCTTCATGCTTTGTATCAATGTAATGGTGTTAGACACTAGCTGAAATGATAAAAGCCTGGCCCAGCCACTCCAATCCAACACCACAAGGTGTTTGCTACATGTATATACAGTACAAGTTACAGTGGGGGCAGCCATCTTGTTCAGATTATTCAGACATCTAATTTGTTTGGAGAAAAAAAAATGGAGCAAAAACAATGTTTTTCCTTCAGTGAAGGTAAACATAATGAATACATAAGTCTACACATTATCAAATCAAGAGGTTCAAATGCTGACCCAAACACTCTACAGACTCTGTTCATCCCTTGACCAATGTTATTATGAAATATTAAACTTTAGTGGGTTCCCCTTATGCAAGCTCCATATATTGAATAGAGTTTCATCAGGAACTTGACAGAGATCTAGACAGAAAGAAATGAAAACGGAGGAAGGCTTGTGATAATAACTGATTCAGAAGTGAAAACTACAAGCTTAGTTTGACATAAAAAGTGTACTAATATTTTGTTCCTACACATCTAAAAAAAAGGCCAACCTTCCACAGCACTTCCATCTGCTTGGTGCTGAGGGACTCCTCACTGTCAGTAGATGTGAACATGTGCTCCATGAACATCTGCAGGGTCTGTAGTCTGATCCACAGGAATCTGTGAATAGGACAACAATGTCATAAAACTACATTGTACAATGTATACAGCTTTCATGTGCATTTTGGCACATCATAAAACTGTACAATGTTTATAATGACAAAATCTACTGCCAAGTACTGTTACTATTAATGAGTTTTCAAAATATCTGAGTGTGAATCATTTAAATACTAAAAATCACTGGACATGCATGGCATCTATTGCAAAGTGCCACAGATATCAATGCAGGTATAAAAGTAGGAAAGAATACATGTACTAGCTACAAATGCTAGGTACGACATACATTGTACAGTCACAATAATTGTATTTTCATACATACTTGATTTATAAAACTCAGGAATTTGACATACATTGTAGGGACAGATTAGAAAGATACGAAACAGGAGGAAGGCTTGTGACAAAGGAAGTGAAAACTACAAGGTTGACATACATGTACATCATAGTTTTATACATTCTTGAAAATAGTCAAAATTGCAGCAGAAATTTACTGATGTCATGAAGGAACAATCCAGCTTAGAATAAAAACTTTTATTAATCCTGAATAAATTAAAGTTCTACATGAAATTATGCGGCTTCAGATGTCTTACTAGTACTGAAGGACGGCTGCGTGTGCGAGATGTTGGTTAACTTGAGGAATGAATCCACTCTACTACAAACAATACTGCAAACCTCCTCACCTTGCCATGTGTACTTGAGTCAGGCTCTTCTCCCCGTAGCACACACTGTTGTCGGGGGAGGCAGCAGCAGCGAAGACCCGCTCCACCACAGGAGCCACACACTGCATCCGCCCCAGCCAGCTCTGTCGTTCTGCAGGGGTGGCCATGTCGTGTGCTTCTGGTGTCAGACCCTCTAACACTGCCAGTACTGCTGTGGTGTCTACAGTCTGTAAGGAAGGTTGTGACAATACATAATTTTGATGGTATACTCTTGACAGTGGGGTCATGTGGCACAACGGCAGAGCATTCGGCTCAGAACCAAAAGGTCCCGGGTCCGAAGTTACCAACCTAGTGCCCTTAGGAAAGGCACTTTACACGACTTTCCTCACTTAACTCAGGTGAAAATGAGTATCCCAGAATGATCATTATCATGATCGTGGGCATTGAAAAGAAAACAAAAACCAAAACAGTGTATAGACTCTAAATTCTGTCACAGTGGTAGTGGCTAGTATTTGCCATACTAGTCATGAGAGGCACTGTGCAGTAAAAACTGTGGAGAACAACATTCAGTGACTGATGGAAAAGATGAGAAGCAGAGAAAGATGTAGTCCAAGAAACTCTTAACACTAATTACAGTAAACATACTGTTTGAAAAAAGCCATCCAGTACACCTAAAAAAGAGGCTATATTGCAAAGGCATACTGGACACTTTCTCCTCCTTTCTACAACAAACTTATTGCACAGTCAATCATTTTCGGACCAAATTAGTCATCAACAAAAGTTTGCCCGTGTTGGTAGAAGTCATTATGAAACAGGTTTGAACTGTATTTTCCAACACAAGAAATTGGTGCATAATGTGACATCACAGAAGCGGTGGACTGGACTGACAAAGACTGGAGTTGTACAGTCAAAAATTAGGTCCGATTTGGTCCATGTTGGAAATTACAGTTTACTTTAATCTTGAGTACTGTTTCATGACAAGGAAAGTCTCACCATTGATGTGTCACACTGAAAGTCCACCTGACAGAGTTTCTGCAGCAGGCCGGTTGTGGTCTCCAGGAGCTGGGCCAGGTTGTGCAGACGGCCCTGCACACGGCTGAAGGCTGTGTGGACGGCTGGGATGGTCAGGCAGAACAGCTCTTCTGATCCAGACTGGGCATGCAGCTCTCTGGCTGACAATTCTACTGCACTGCAGACCATCTATTATAAATGTACATGCAATATAAATGTTACAAGCATTTTCTTAACACTTCATCTTGTAATTATGACAAATAGAATTCAGAAGTATGACAAATGCAATTGAAAGAATATTTATTATACAATAAGCTAAAATATTATGTTTATAGCACATCTGCAGAATGTACTGTGCCTGTGCAAAACCACGGTTTTCGTAGGATGTTTGGTCAACTTTACATCAGAATTTTGTCTGTTGCACAAGATACCCTTTCAGACACAATGTTTGGAAACTATAGACGGGATGTCACCCTTGAATACGAAAATATGACCTTGAAAGAGGTGTTCCGTGAAAGTGCTATGCACAATACATTACGGGTTTTGCGCAGGTGCAGTATTGTAAACATGCCGCAGTAGTTTTTTCCACCTCTATCTCTTCCACCGATGTTGTGACCATCCTGTAAGTCATCCACACGTAGTCGTGCAGATATCTGGCAGCGATGTCCTCCTCACTCTGGTCCTGTTCAGCTGCTCTGTGGATAATCTTGCCAAGTGTTGATTCCCTGAACAACCTGGGCAGGGCCTGATCCGGACTCTCACCAGTCGATGCTAAAGAAGAGCCACAAAAAATTATTACATACACAGAGTTAAAAATATTTTGTATCAGTGTGGCTCAGTAGCTAGAACACTTTTAGTCAGAGCCTAGTATAATACCCTTGTGTGTTCCTTATGTATGTACATGTATGTCTAAGTCAAGTAGTGTACAATCTTTTGTCTCCACTTTTCTATATACATTTGTTATGTGTCTGTTAAGTCTTGACCTGTACCTAGCCAGTTATGGCATGAATGTACAATAAAGGTCTTCATCATCATCATCAACATTCCAGAATGTCCAAATTTGGTCCTGCAATTTGATACTTTCTACAAGACATGTAAGTTTCAAGAGGATGATGGCAAAGAATAAGTCATCGCAAGTAATATGAGCCAACATCCCTTTTACAAATTGAATGAATGTCACAAATCATTGTCATCATGAAATGTCTAAGACTTTCATACTTTGGCTCACCCTGAAAGAAACTTTAAGATACAAAATCTTACAAATCTGCTTTCACTATTTCACTACCTTTTGCAAGTCATATTATTAAGCAACAAGAATTATCAGGATAGGGTACATTAATACAAACCACTCTGAGCACATCATGATATGGCAAGTCTTTGAAACTGAAAACGTGGAACAAATAAATCCGAACATATTAAGGGCCATTTAGTCCCTACCCTCCATTTTCTGTGCAGTCTTCAGCATGGCGTCCACCTGACCTCGGATGACCCAGGAGAAGGGCAGCCTACACTCAAACAGCTGTTCTCCACATCCTGAGCTCAGCACTGGGATCTGGGGAACGTCAAGCAACATTTCAGACCATTAAACCACACCTATCTATTATTATTGGTTCTTGGATTTGCCTGGCTTATTTTTCTGATTTGCAAAAAAAGAATTTCAGGTTCTGAATCAACTCCAAAATGCTTACATTTTGGCTAGACTAACAGTTGAAGAAAGTTTTTCTTGGATGTTGTTCTATTTTTTTACCATCTTGGAAGTTGCTCTATTTTTTCCATCTAGCAATGCAGTGGTTCCTTTAAAATGCAGTGGTTTGACAATTATTCCGTTAAGTTGACTTCAAGGCTCTCTCTCTAAGAACTATCATACAAATGTAAGATGACTAGGCCTGGGTTTTTTACCGCACTGTCACTTTATGTTAAATTTTCTCTCAGAAAATGCAAGAACCAACAAATTAAATTAGTGTGGCATTAAATTGTAACTATGGTTAGATTGAAACCTCTTGGAGGTCATGGTGGCTCAAGTTACGTGTTGTGGTATTGACTAGTACTAGTACTACACTTCACACAAGCAAGTAATATAGGAAACAAACAGCATGAGGAAGGGTACAGGTAAGGTCCTATCAATTTCAACAGGAATCCTCAAAAAATGAAGGACTATATTCAATCAAATTGTTATACGCCTTTCTAGATCAAAGTTGGTCCAAATAGACTGCAATGCACTTCAAATGGTTGGAAACCCTTCTTATGCAAATTGCATTAAATAGTAAGAATTGTAAATGTGTATTCATTAAATACCTTTTGTCGTTGTACATTCATAACAGGAGACAGCATGTCACTGTAGTGGAAAGGCACCAGGTTCTGGTCACTCAGGATTTCCAGGAAGATTGGAACAGTCCACTCTCCGGCAGGGGTGACCATGTGGTCCAGGTTACAGTTCCTGTCAGCAAAGGCAACAATCTCAGCCAGGAGAGGGGCTATCACCGAGGACAGGTGGTTCCAGGCTGATTGTCTGAAATTTCAGAAATAATGGAAGCATAACTAATGCATTCATGTACAAATGTACAATGTATGTAGCTGTCTACGTCTCAAAATGTACTCTAGGATTTTTTTGCCTACAAATATACTAGGACAAAAGAATGGCCAATCGAGCATGTTAATATATACAGCTTGTGCATTTGTGTGGTAGATTGAAGAATGACAGTCACGATATGAGCTACGTAATTGGTTATGGTATTGACAAATTCCAAGTGTAGATCGTATGTTTGTATGTTATGCATACCTAAAAGAGGTCCAAACAAAAACAACCAATCTTAGAAAGACAATGTGTACTAACTAGCATTATCACACGGGTCAAACCACACATGTTGAACAATATGAAGAACTTTATTTTACGACAATTGTACATGGTACAATGTATGGCAACGACTATTGAACATAGTACAAAAAACAAAGGGGTATAGAATGAAAATATAATGACCAGGTGACATACATGTAAATGTATATAGATAACAGAACTGATACAGGATTGTGTGTAACACGTCGTTCGGTGTGATATAGCTAGCTGCCGCCGCCGCGTGCCTGCGAAGTTGGGCTGTTATGCCAAAGGACGGTTAAACCGGCTATACCGATACAGATACATAACGGGTGTATTCCTTCCAACCTGAGTGTCCCTGCTTCTGTGATAGCCTTGGGTGTAGCAGCCTCATTAGTCAGCCAGTTCACGCCTCCGTCTGCTTTGTTCCTCTCCTTCTCTTCCAGCAGCTGCACGATGCGAGCCTTCACCACGTCACAGAAACTGGGACCTGAAAATGGTACGCAGTGAGTCATCATTTCCTATGGCCCCTGGCTACACAGGTTCAAACTACTGGCTAGACAGGATGGAAACCTGTCTATGTCCTATGGCCTAACAGTCCTATGGCCTAACTTGTTGTATTGAGGTTACTATAGCCCTGAAAGGCTGCCATTACAGACCCTTGCCATTTGGCCTCACCATGCCTAAATGGAAAAGCTCCTGGCAATTCAAACAATGGCAGCAAAGATACTGCAAAGATAGAGCACAATGCTCCTTTACCACTATATTTAACTGACATATACATTTTTTACTGTAACAGTGTTTTTTCAGTCATACATGTAACGTTACATGTACATGTATATCAGAATGAAACTGCCTATCAACAGAGGGAAATATATTATTATGATTATTATAATAATTCATTTCCATTCTTAAACTTGCAAGCTGGAAAAGAAAATTATGTGGGCTATGCAAAAAGAACTGCATGCATTTAAAGTAGTCCCATGGCCTTTTTCAGACCGTAGGCGCAGTGGGTTGTTGATCCACTGTGTCTAGGGCACAGTACTGGAAGATGGAGCCACTGACTCTCCTTCCACCTCCCCGGCCATTTTACACCTAGGTGGAGTGAGAAAAGTCGAGTCTCTCAAATATCATGTGCTTGCCTACCCCACTTTGTCATTCGATGCTACATGCATTTACTCCATACGATAACACTGAGAATTCCACAAACCTTTCTCCACCCTCTCCTGCAGAAGTTCCATGAGCTTCTCAATCCTGGTCACAGTCCTTCTCTTTGGCAGGTGCTTTGGATCCTCCAGCATGGCGGCTGTTGCCTGGATACAGCTGACCAGGAGCCTCTTATCATCCAACACAGACACCTGGGAATGGCACACACAACCAGAGCAAGAGATGTAATGAACATTAACTTCATCGGTTTCACGGCTAATCCTAGCAAAAACCCGCCAATTCTAGCCCTTTTTTGGTCAAATACTGGCAAGTCCTATTAAATTTTTGATTTGATATCTTAATCTAAACCCTTTGAAACGTTATTTCAAGGATTCAAGGTGCAAATTTTTTATCGAGTAAATCAGGTGAAATATTAGACAAGTCTCTTTGCTCAAAACAAATGGAGGAACAGCTCTTGGCAACAGTCCACGTCCTGAGATAAAAAGAGAATCCCTTAACCTACCGAACCTATTTTTTTCAGGACTAAAACCATAAACACTACATACTGTACTTAGGACCCTATAACTTAGGACAAGTTGGACTTCATGCCTGCAAAGTGGTGTGTTATGCCTAAGTTAGTAGACCAATTCAGAAATCGAATTTTTTGCACTGGAGCAAGAAACTCACTACTATTTATTGGAACTTAAAATATAGAGTAAAAAGAAACAACTACAAGGAATAATAATTACATTTTCCATGAGAGCCCCTATCTCAAATATATACAAAACGTACCAAAACTCAAGAATGAAAGTTAGACTAAGTTGCAAACTTATGATTATGCATAAAAGTACCTCCTTATACTTGTCGGCTGTCTTTGGTTGTGGGTCTACCTCTTCCCTGTCAGCAGTGAGTTCAAGCTCAATGTCATCCAGGTCCATCTCCTCCAGAGTGTCCCCACCATTTCTCTCCATGGTAACCTCCTGGGGTTCTTCATCCTCCTCTACTTCCATGTCCTCTTCCACACCAGCTTCAGTACCATGGACAGGATCCTCATCCTGAATAAAATATCGAAGAATTTCACTGGAACGTTATGTAATGTTGTAGTAACAAGCCAGTATATCTATTATAGACAAAATATACTGCAACCAGAGTGATAAGCCAGTGTAGCAACTCTTCACCATAACACACAGGCTTCAGTACCAAGGACAGGATCCTCCTCCTAAACCAAATATCAATGCTACTGGAAGGTTAGCTAATGTTGTACTAACAAGCCAGTATATCTACTAATATGCTGTATCTTAAGTGATAAGCCAGTATAGCTACTCTTCGCCATAATACACCAGCTTCAGTACCATGGACAGGATCCTCCTCCTAAACCAAACATCAAACAATGTCACTGGAATGTTAGGTAATGTTGCACTAACAAGCCAGTACATCTACTGATTAAGGCACTTGACACAACTTTAGTCACTCCATCCAGGTGTAAAATGGATACCCAACTTCAGTCTGGGAGGTAAAAGGCGGTAAAAGGAGAGGGGTGTGCTCCGCCTTCCGATAACGTTCCCTAGTCACCACCTCTTACCTCCCCAATCAAAGTTGTGTAAAGTGCCTTTCCCGAGGACACAGCGTCTTGCCAGGAATTGAACCCGAGACTTCTTGATCTCGTGCCAACTAGCCTAACTACTTGGCCATCTGATGCCACTTGAATATTACTGTAAGTTCTGATAAACAGTTTTTTTGGTTTAACACACACCTCCATCTGTACTGATCTGTCAACAGTGTTCTCTTCCTCAGCATCCATGTCCATGGAGCGTGTGTCCTCCTCCCTCCTGTGCCCCCCCAGCAGCTGACTGATGGGTTTGTTGATCATCTCGCCCACGTCGGGCGCGTTCCTCTGCGGCGGCTGCAGGTCGTCGATGTGCGCACACGTCCACCTGCCGCCCTGGAACCCCACAAAGCAGCCTCCCGGCAGGCGGGGCAGCTGCACGATGAAGACCAGGTGAGCTGTGGTGTTGCCCACCTGTGTCTGCTCGTCCTGCACGCAGTACCGGGCGCAGGCTATCAGGTTACTGTTGGTGTGGCCGGAGTCGCACTGAACCACCAGGACGGACTCCTCGTGTAGTGTTAATGTCAGGAAATCTCTGTAAAGATAACAAAAAAATAGTAACACTTGCAAAGCAAATGCATAATGTTAGCCCTCACAATGGTTCAGCCTAAGAAACTACTGCTCAAACACATTCATACAAAATTATATGGTGACCAGCCCCTCCAACTCTATCCTGCAACTTTGTTACATAATGTAATGCAGCACCAGTTGCCATGGTGATATTCATGTGGTCCAGGTCATTGACCCTTTAGGTTTGGAGAAGAAGAAATGAACTAAACTGCAAACTTCAAGGTAAACATAATGCTACTGATCATACACAGGGAATGGCGTCATGATTTATATCTATCATATGATGTCAAACTGCTGTAAAGTCTAAGATGATTGTGTTTTATGAATAGAATATAATTGGTTACAGTGGCCTTAACCTTCATTGTTGAGTCTTTATCTTTGAGAAGACTTCAAGAATTAATGACATGACAAGTATCATCTCACTCACACTCAAGTATCATGATGCATCAAAAATAAACTTGAAGACCTACCTGATTTGCTTACAGAACTGATGCTCAGTGTCAAACTGTTGCAGTGACATGACGGCTACATGAGCCGGCGGCAGGTCCAGAGCTGTGGCCAGACTCCGGGCATCTGTGTGAGACAGCAGCTTGGAGTGGGTGGTCACCTGATGGAAACAGAACATAACTATGAGGACCTAGAATAAAATGCCCTAACAAAATATACAACTTGATAAATTAAAATAAACATATTAAATCATTCACACTAAATAAACTCACATGTAGCGATTGAACCTATTGTCTTGATATATGGTAGTGGCCATTTTGTTTTTAATATAAAGGACAACTGATCTAATTATGAAATTATTGCTAGTAGCAGTAAGTGAATGAAGTCCCAAGTTTAGTTTCGAAAGAAAGAATGAAAAAAATCCTGCTTAAAAAAATTGCAATAATTCATACTACAAGGCAAATTTGTGACCTTCCTTTGAAACAGGATTCAGTACTTTAGCATTAGAGCAGTTTGAGTTAAAATAAAAGAATGACCTGTGTTAGCACATTGCAAGAACATACTGCACTTGAGCAAAATGTGAAATGTTGTTGTTGTTGTGGAATGTAATGTGCATACATTTGTAAATACAGCACTTCTAAATAATGCAGCTATTCATTTAAGGTCATGTTTGGGTATATACATGTAACAAAGACATCCCGCCTGAAGCTTTCAAATGTTGTATCTTCATAACATGTTCATTGGAAACAATACCAGTATCTCATGTCACCCAAACATCTAGCAGAAACCGTGGTTTCGTACAGTCTCATTACATTATCCTGCCATGCTACCTGTGTCTGTATGCCCTGCTGCCACCTCCCCGCCTGTCTAGCCTGGTGGATCCTGTGACACAGGAACTCCTGCAGACAGGAGTGGTGCTGCTGATGGAAGTACTTGTCCTTCAGGGTGGCTTCTTCTGACGACAGTCTGGACTTGGACAGCCTGACCACGGCGTCTGGTGTGGCACACTGGAGGAGAAGGTCCTGGGCCTTCTGTAGTATCTGAAGATGAAGTCAGACAACATAATGAGAATGCTGTGCTACGATACAGAAGATTTGAAACCAGGCCAGTTCAATACTGAATCACTGTTTATGGGTTCATTGTAAGGGGAAATTCCCCTAGCTCTTTTTCACAAGCATAATGAACAGTGGACCACAGCTTAACATCCCGTCCTAAGGATTGTGACCCTTTACGGTAGCTTGCATGTCGGGTGAGCGACAATAGCTGGGATTCCATCTCCCAATCTCTTAGTCCAGAGGCAGGGTCACTAAACATTAGAGTACACAAGCAATAATTATTAGAATCTACAAAAAAAAAACAGACCTAGGCATCTTATTATAGTTCGAAAATGCTACGATAGGAGCTACAATGAAGTCAACTTACCAGGGTGGTTTGTAATTCAAACAATGAATCTTAAACTTTCAAACAAACTGTAACAGTTAACAAAGACTTTCTTCAAATGTTGGTGCCAAAATATGAGCATTAAGTTGATTCAGAACCCGAGTTTTTAATTTAAAAAAAAAAACAGAAAAAAATTAAACACTGGGTGAAACCTTTGTGACAGACGTATTGTACATGTTTCTGATTAATTATGCAAATAAGATCCTCTTTTGCAAAAACCCACCTGTTCCTCCAGTGAAGGGTCATCTGTGTCTACCCCACTCATCTCAGAGCAGACCTGGAACACCAGGGTGGCAGCCGTGTCGGGATGGTAGCCGACAAAGGCATCTCCTACTGTGTATCGGTGCCTGAAACAAATTACAAAGTCTATCAAAACTGGCAAAAAGGGACAAGCAAAATGTACACTATGGGGGGAAACTATAAGGAACTAAGAGCTATGATTACTTTTCTACTGCACATCAAATTGAATTGACAAATAAAAGTTTAAACTCTTTGAAACTGGTGTGTTATGCCTTGATAATAAGGAAGTTTACCAATTCTACAAACATCGTGGATAGTTTCATCAGGTTGGTAAGTCACTCTTTCTACACAACCAAGCCTTTAATGTTCCTTAAAAACTGGGAACTTTTCCAGTACCATGCATGCCCGGTTAGCGACAACAGCCAAGACTGGAACTCCCAAACTTGTGGTCCAGAGACAGGGTTGCTAACCACTAGACTACGTATGCTATATACAAACTTACTTGACAGTTTCATGAGGTGCCGTCCTCTGTGTGGCGAAAGCCTCGGCCCACAGCTCCAGCCTGTGAGCGATGGCCTTCTGCTGGGGAGTCAAGACAGTGGAGATGGCCAGGAAGTGTTTCTCCAGTCGGTTGACCAGAGGGATGGGAAACCTCTCATATACAATGTCCTTCTCTGCAACAACTACCAGCCTGGGAGAAAAAGGAAATTGTAAGTGTAGTATGGTTAAAAACATACAGCTTAAAGCCCAGGAAAATAAATGTTGTCAGTGTTTGTTTACAGTCCTGAAAAAATTAGGTTTGGTAGCGCAGTATCCATCAGATAGAAATGGAATCCGAATCAAATATTTCTTGTTCACCTTTTCATGACATTTTTCTTGTCCACCTTAAAACATACCCAAATTAAACTGTGTGAAGGCATTTCAGCACCATGGAAAGCAGATATGTTACAGTTTCTAACATACCCAAATTTTACAAGTCTGTCAAGCTCATACCCCAAATTGTGCCCCCAAAACCAAAGCCAACGACATGTCCCAAAAAGGTCAAAATTCTCGATTCTGAACCAAATTTCTTTGCAAGAGGAGTGAAGGAGGTGGTCTACATTAGAGCTCATAGACCTACCATGAACAGAGACGGGGGGCGACACAAGTTAGCTGGCATGTATGACCCGCTACTACGGTCACATGTCTCTGATGTCACATTCCAAGAATAGCTGTAAATTTGGGGTAAGTCCCAATTCATTACAGTGTTGAGAATAAAGCGTAGTCTTTATTTCATAATGACTTGTACCAACACAGATGACCTTTCATGCTATGTCCCCCAACATTTTAAGGTACCAGCAAAGCTTTACCTGAAGTTTTGGTGGACTCGACACTTGACCCTGTGTGTACCCAGACCCAGATCCACATACCGCTGACCTCCAAAGTACACGTAGTACTGTAAGGGGAAAAACACTCTGAGTACCTCTTGAAATCTAATAATTGTTATATCCAGCAATTCTTAAAGAGCAGGCTTGCACTATATAAGCACCCAATAAATTCGGCTAACGTAAACTACCTGGCCCCATTCTGTCCCTGACTACTGTGGTGGTAACATGGGCAGAGGGCTCTTGAAGACACTGTTTGAAACATATTGACAACAGATAAGGAATTTATGTACATGTACAGTCTGTTGTACATAAAGAAGATAGCCTCACCTTACCCAGAATATAAAGTAATTACAACACTGTACTGTCTTGCCAAGGTTTGGTGGTGTTATAGATTGGCTGGCAGTTACTTGAACAGTTCTAACAGAGCTCCAGTCTACATGTATACTAGTGCTGCTTTCTCATACTACCAAATTGACATCACAATTGAAACCCATATTTCTAGACTCACTTACTATCCAAGCTAATTCAGTTGTGAGGTTGACATTTTAGATATCTAAAATTAGACGCTTTGATGAAATGTTGACAAGGCAGTTTGAAAAATTGAAATTTGACTACAAACTTGGTTTTCCAGAAACTGAAAGTTGCAGATAGTATTTTCTTGATTTATGTGACTCAGTTACAGCTATCCCGATCATTCTGCGTGGTTTGATATTGTTAGTTTGAAAACCAGTATAGAAAAAACATTTGAATTTGTTCAAAAAGATTGACAGTTATTATGCTAATCAGTCCCTGCCATTGTTTTCGGTGGCTGGACCGTCTAGGATGTTTATTAGTTTATGTGATTATGGGGGTCAATTCACTATTCAAGCTGCTGGAGAAGCCACAGTGGGGAGTACTTCCTTATTGCGTTGCCCTGGGCACCGAATCCTCCAGTTTAACAATCGTGCCAATTAAAACCAAACAAGCCAACAAAGAGTCAATGAATATGTAATGCACCAGGAAAATCTGATATCCCCAAACAAAAAATTAAAACAATATAAATTCCAACGTTTGAATCTAGTATAATTCCAATTTATAAGCAGTGTATGCGAAACATGTTTGAATTACGCTATGGAAATAATGAAACTTTTTGGAGCCAGTGTGATGATAACCGTTATAACCTTATGCTAGTCATCACATGGGCAGAAACACCTGTATCAAACATTATCACTTTATCACCCATGTATGACATAGAAGAACCTTTTAGTAAGATATATATATTTCTAGGATGATTACTTTTGAATATTAAAGCCTTATTTGCCATAAATATCTCCATTACGATAAATGAATCCCTGCTCACCTGGTTGAGGGCATCATAAAGACTCTCGTACAGGTTCTCCAGGTTGAGCAGCACCACAGTCCTCCCAGTCTCCATACACACCTTGATACGGTTGATGTTCCGACACACCTGACAATACACAACATCATCATCATCAAACATTATCATTCTGAAAACATGAACTACATTTTGGACAATCACTTAGCTAACCTTTGTATTGGAAACATCACTACAATGCAACAAGACTTTACACTGCCTACTGTCTGAAATTTATGCAGACAATCCAATAGAATCCAGTAGCGTGATATGGCGAGTTATGCCTGTAATAAAGAAATGAAGAAAGAATAGTTTGGTCTGAAACAATCGTCAGTATAACCGTTACAGTATAAACTAACTAAATTTTTGCCATCAACTTCAAGAATATTCACTTTATTCATTAACAGACTGAACTTCCTCAACTTACGGCCAAACTGATAGCAATCAAAACAACATGATCTGATCTAAAATTTCAAGTTTTTTGCTAGGGTCAGTTGGGCAAAATTGAAAACACTTTTTTCCTAGGCTTTACCTGTGTGTACTCCAGGTCCTTAGGGAAACTGTGCCCTTACCTGTGTGTTGTCCAGGTCCTTAGGGAAGCTGTGCCCTTACCTGCGTGTACTCCAGGTCCTTAGGGAAGCTGTGCCCTTACCTGCGTGTACTCCAGGTCCTTAGGGAAGCTGTGCCCTTACCTGTGTGTACTCCAGGTCCTTAGGGAAGCTGCTGCCAAAGATGATGACTGTGTCAGACATGGACAGTAACTCCTGCTGCAGGATGCCCAGCGCTGCGTAGTTCTGAGTCAGAACCATCAAGTAACGACTCTCCCTGGAACAATGGGATTTTAAACTTAAAACCATGAACACCCTACACTATGTAAACAAGAACAACACTGGGGAGGGATGAAGTCAATGATAGCCAAGCAAATCTTAACATCAAGAAATTAATAACAAAGTGAGCAATTCCATTAGCAGTAGGAAAGGGCTAATCAATTAATATACCAGAAGGTAAGGTAAGGAAGGAGGGTAATATAGCACCAAGGACAGTGATAGGTGTAGTTGAGAAAGTAGTTAAGAAAGCATGATTGTGAATGTAGGAATAATACAAGAGAGTTCAGCACCAAGGACAGAGTTAAGTATGGTTACAAAATTATCATAATAGTAGTTAAGAAAGAGTAATGAAAAAGGTTAATGAAATTGTACAAGAGAAGACAATTCAGCACCAAGGACAGTGTTTGGTGTGGGGCTAACTCAGTGGTTAGGCCATTGCTGCGAAAATGCTTTAAAATACCATGGCCTAGACACAATGGATTAACAACCTTTGAAAAAGGCTATTGCTTAGGTCACATTTCCAAACCGGGGCCCGGTCGGGCTGTTTGTACGAACGAAAAATTAACTATTCTTATCAAGAATATAGAGAAATACAGCCCATGATTGTTATAAGGAACTTTTCTGTGTTTTGTTGTCTTCTGTATCGTAGTTTTCGTTCCCAAAAGCTGCCCGGCCGGGCCCCGTATGGGAATTGTGACCCCAGCATATGGGGCTATCTTTACCTTTCACTTTTTACACCACATAATAGTTCAGTACATATACAGTGGCCGTGGTGGGGTTTTTGGTTATAGCAGTGGGAAACAATAAGCATGAGTGCTAAAAGCAAAACTACACAATCCTACCCTTCACAGTGCATGCCCTGGACACTTGCTCGGATCAGACCACTGGGGGTGCAGTCTGGGTCATCAGCATGCTGCAGCAACATCAAACATTTCCTATTCTTCACTCAAAACGCCCCCTTCCCAAAAAAATCATTGTGGAAAAGCAAAGTGGGTTGTTCAATATACAAAACTGAAAATTCCAGATATTTGTAACACAGCACAAGCATTTTCAGTTTTCTTCTTAGCTAGAATGATGATTGCATGCATGCATGGAACTGATTGGAACAAGCCATATAGATCGACATGATTTTTCCTGTGTTTTCATATACATCTACATGACTGTACAATCTCTGAACAACCACATGTAGCTTTCAAAGGTAAGTTGTTGTACCATTTGCATCACAGGTTTAGAGAGTTTTACAGCCTAAAGAGCTCAATTTGTGGGGTGTGGCACTTCTATGCCAACAAGGCTATGCTGAGCAGGTACAGATTACATGTTCTCGGTAGATTATCTATTGATGTTTCCATTATTTGTCTAATCATGTATACCTTAGGTATTGTTGTTCGTACAGCAATGTTATACACTGTATGTTTATCTTTATATTTTCTTTGGATCACCTGGTTTGCCTCCCTCTTTTTGTAACATATAGAAAATTTTAATAAACTAATAGAAAAAATGCATACCTTGTAATCTGGGAGTGTCATCAGCACTTGTTCAAACTTCTTCAGTGGGTCCATGTCATCCCTGCCTCCATAGTTCCTCAGGACGGCATGGACAACCTGAGCCTTGGTGGGGGGTTTCTCCGATGTCTTACAGAAACCGTACACCATCTTCACCAAGCTGGAAGACAATATTCAATATTCCATACGATAAGCCAATACTACCCGCATCCGTATAGCATTAAATGTTAATGTGTAATACTATGTTGCAATTATTCTGTGGTGGTATTGAATAGCCGAGTGGCTAGGCTAGCAGACATAAGGGCAAGAGGTCACAGATTTGACAATCCATTCAGGTGTAAAATGGGTTACTATATTCAATTGAGGAGGTAAAAAGTGGTGAAAGGAGAGGGATGGGCTCCACCTTCAAATACTGTGCCCTAGACACAATGGATTAAGGACACACTAGCACCTACATGTAGATGATGAAAAAGACTATGGGACTTTTTGCAATCACTACCCACAAAAAATTTTTGAAAAATTTCGATATTACTAATTAGTCCAAAATGTCATTCACATCTTTACCTGGAATGTCTTGGAAAAACTCCAGAGACCAGAGTGACTGATCTAAAGCTCTATGTGATTTAACTTTAAACATGTAACTACCAACAGAGAGGGACTTTCATGACAATAGCAGTACAGAGTTCATGATTTTGCATCTACCAGCAGAGCAGGTTTCAAATAAATCCTAAAACCACACCTGTAGAAGTCTCGCAGACCAAAGAACTCCCTGTCCTGAGAATTGTAGAGCTTCAGGTAAGCTTCACACAGGTGTGGGAGGAGGGTCTTCATACAGGCCAGGACATGGTGGTCATTCTCACAGATACCCCTGGGAAATAAGAATAATAAGAACAATAAATATATCATGAAGAACTGTTGTGTAGACTGGAAGGCAATACAGCACCAAAGCAGGCAGCACTTTGTCGGTCTTACAAGACCATGAAAGTACTTCATCTACACCATGTACTTATTCTTGGTTTTGCGCTTAAAGCGTCTTAGTTCTGATGCAAGTCTCTGTTTTTCTTCCCCCCGATGTAAGCCCCTCTTAACTTCCTCTCCATAGTGTTCTGTTTGTTGCTAGTGTCTCCCATGTATTAATATCTATGTCCATGTCTTTCATGTCCCATTTAACAACTGCACCAAGGACAGTGTTGGTATTACAATTAGTAGTTAAGAATGAACATGAGATAATGCAACACAAGAGTTCAGCACCGAGGACAGTGTTATGTGTAGTTACAATTTTAGTAGTTAAGAAAGAGCATGGATGAAAATGGTGAATGGGATAATATGCTCGAAGACAATTCAGCACCAAGGCCAGTGTTGGGTATTACAATAGTTGCTAAGAAAGAACGTGTATGTGGGAATAATAAAATACAAGAGAGTTCAGCACCAAGGACAGTGCTAAGTGTGGTTACAATCATAGTAGTTAAGAAAGAGTATGGGTGAAAAAAGGGTGTATGGGATGATACAATAGAAGACAATTCAGCACCAAGGACAGTGATGGGTATTACGATAGTTGCTAAGAAATAACATGAATGTAAGAATAATAAAATACAAGAGAGTTCAGCACCAAGGACAGTGCTAAGTGTGGTTACAATCATCATATATGGTAGTTCAGAAAGAGTATGGCTGAAAGAGGTGATTGGAACAATGCACCCAAAGACAATTCAGCACGAAGGACAGTGATGTAGTACAATAGTGGCTAAGAAAGAACATGAATGTTGGAATGATACAATAAAAGAGAGTTCAGAACTAAGGACAGTATTAAGTATGGTTCCAATATTAGTTAAAGCAATAGTAGTTTTATGTAATTGTAAACATGATAAAATCAGGTGCTGGACCCACAGACTTACCTTGCACTCTTAGTCAGATCCTCTTTCCTTGGCTTCCCCCTGGACACAAAGATGCCCCTGTTCATCTTAGCAGGATCCAGAGCCCAGTTGGAGATCCCCACAAATGCTACCTTCTTGTGAGACCTGGTCTGATCTGGGGCTTCTTCATCCTCCTCCTCCTCCTCTTCTTCCTCTGAGTCATCATCATCATCATCATCTTCTTCTACATCTTGGTCTTCCTCCTCATACCCATCCTCCAGCAGTGGATGCAGGGTCTGTGTTACAGTAATTGTGAAGTTAACACATACATGTTATGGCCATACAAATTCTATATGCCTTCATATCTAACATGCTCCATTTTGTTTCTTTCATTTTTTTTCCTTCAGCATCCATCTTTTTGTCATTTGATGGACAAAATTTTTGCCCAATCCATCATCTCTGAAAGACAAAGATAGGTGTGTTAACACATGGAAAGAGATGTCATTAAAGTAAGCTTAGATTTCAAAATTCTAGAACTAAAACTCTAGAACACTGGATTGGATGCAAGGTCTGTACCACAGTCGCTTTTTCCTTCTTTGTGGCTAAACTATACACAACGGTAACAATTTGTTTATATATACTAACTCTGGTCAAATATTGACAGATATCAAAGATAAACAGATATCAAACAGAGATAAACTACAGAAGTGGTTACATCTTCAGATGCTGAGAAACACTTTCACATCAGATTTGTTAATCATATACATTGTATGGTGATGTACAAAGTCATTATGTAATATCTAATACCAGAGGCATTTTGGTTAATACCGGTAGTCACCTTGAGGGGCATTTTGGGTGAGTCCTCTGCCAGTCCCACCTCATCCAGCACGACCACAGACACGAAGCGGGACAGGTCCTTGTCCTTCTGGAACTTGCTGCACTGCCGGAAAGTTCCCACAATGCCTTCTGGTGTGGCCAGTGGGCTGCACTGGAAGGAGACCATCTGGGCCTGACATGAAAAAAAAAAGAAATTTAAATCACAGCTGAGGGAATTTGAGTACTTTACAGATAGTATGAAAGAATTTGGACTTTTGAACGTGCAACTCCTGTCCAGGAATTTTTATCTTATTTATTTATTCATTTATTAGCACATGATAAAAGTTTTACAAAACATACTACAATGTAAGTAAATGTGCAGGGGTGGAAGAAAAGCCATGAAGAAAAGGCTTGTTTGATCTCCTCCCCATCATGATTTTACAATTTTTACAGTTTTATCAAATAAATGAGTGAACACACTGCTGTCTTTTCTTGCAGGTTCTTCATAGACTATTTCAGTTCACTCAGCATTTTGATGACCACAACAGGGCTTTCTCTAGCTCCAGATATTTTGTCACGATAGCAAATCCATGCCTATTTTAAAAACGTAATTCTTGTGGTATTGTTGTACACGTAGAGATTGCCATATTGTACCCTGTACAATGGTCCAGTAATGAGGTTCATTCATTCACTGTACATTGTAAGACATGCCAATTTTGTCTCCCAATAATTGTCCCTCAAATGCTCAGGCTAGGATGACAGACACTGGAGAAAACCCTGTACCACAGCAAAATGCAATCTCTAGAAGGTAAAGGTAGTCCGATATAGCTAATAACCTTTACAGATAGAGGCAATGTCTAAGGCATATCCCTCCTCTTCCACCACCTTTTACCCCCCCCCCCAAACCGAAGACAGGTACACATTTTACGACACACACACACTGGCTATAGTGAGGAAAGTCGTGTAAAGCACCTTTCCCAAGGAGACAACGTCTTGCCAGGAATCAAACCTGTGACCTCTTGGTCTTGTGTCCACTACCTTAAACATTTGGGCATTCAATGCCAAAAGGGGAGTACTATAATCACATAATTATCTATGATGGGCAGTCTGTAAGAAGTGTATTTCCTACCTGTTTGAGTCCTTTGAACAAGGATGAAGGTGCAGAGTCTCCCTGCATGGCGTCTGCCACGATGGTTTTGGCGAGAGACTTGGAGCTGCCCGGCTTGCCCACCAGGAAGAGCGGGATCTGCAGCTCGATACACACCACCATCATGAACACGTTCTCCTTCAGCGCCGTGTTACAGGCGATGTTCGCTCCCAGCTGGTCCTTCAGCTCATCAAGGAACGCCTCCTGGCATCTTGACGAGAGAAAACAAACAAATCTTTTGGAAAATCATAAAATCAATAACTAACCCTTATAATACTTGGTGGTCATCATTGTCAACTTATTCTCGTACCCAAGGAACATACACAGGTTTGGGCACTTTATGGTAACTTTACTGACTCAGAGGACAATCCAGCTCTGTTCAGCACGAGAAAAGGCATCAGTGCTTAGCAAACTTGAAACAAGAGTGGAGTCTATGGCATCTTAATACAGCAAAGTAAGAGATGAGAAATAGTTTAGAAAGGTTAAAATTGTTGGCCACAGATACATGTACATGTAGATATTGGAATATGATAATTATTGGAATTATCTAATTTGTGTGCAGTTCACACAAAAGCAAGATGGCACCTCTGCACGCAATTTTTTGTATTGCACATGACATTGTACATTTACTTTGAATAGTCTCTAAAAAATATGGACACTGCACTATCATTCAAGGTACAATGTAGAAAAAATGGGCTAAAGCAATTTCTTAAACCATACCTGTCTAAGCACATCAGTAGAATGAACTGTGCCTGTGCAAAAAGGCTTCGGTTGGATATTTGGTCAACTCTGCATCAGAATTATGTCCATTGCAAAAGATACCATCCTGACACAACATTTGAAAACTACAGGATATCATCCTATACATCATGTGCATACTACCTTAAATGATTAACTCTATGAATCAAAAAGTGTTACATTCCAGATTTTGTGTAAGCTATCAATCAACGTACCTGTCTATCTCCTGTTCCATTGTCTGAGGTCCCTGGGGAAGCAGGCAGGTGTCTGTGAAATGTTGAGCCACGTATCTTCTGTACTGTTTCCTGGTCTCCAGGCGGGAGTGGTAGCAGACACCGATGGCCAGGACTAGAGCTCTGGTGAAGTCAGATATCTGTGCCTGTGACAAGATGTCAGGGTACTGTCAGTAATACAGCTATGGAAAAATGTACATGTAACAGCACCTGTATCAACACATTAAAGATCCCACCACACTTATCAAAAAGAGTAGGGGCCTTCCCGGTGTGAGTTTTGGTTTTTCTTCTAATGCCCACAATCATGATAATGATCATTCTGGCATACTCATCAACACCTGAGCGAAGTGAAGAAAGTCGTGTAAAGTGCCTTTCCCAAGAGCACAAGGTTGGTGTATTGGCAGGATTCGAACCCGGGATCTCTTGGTTCTGAGTCGAATGCTCTGCCGTTATACCACACAACCCCACGAGTGGTTCAAACCTCAATTACAGTCTGGTCTTACACAGCTTGCACTCACCGTACAAAACTGGTGTCACAGTGTTATGCCCAAAGACAGTGGTTTATGTGAATTAAACAAACATGCACCATGTCATCAAGTCATAAACAGCCACAATAGACATCAATAACCTTTTATTTTAGTACTGAAATTTTCAGCAGAACTTACATTAGACCTTGTGCTCCTGCCTGTATCAGGCATCAGTTCCCTCAGTTTGCCAGACATTTGGTAGAACCAGCACAGAACTGTCAGGGTTCTCTCTGCATCACGCAGACTCACAAAACTGCACTCATCCTATGGAAACAAATTTTAATGCTACATGTAGTAGTCAGAGTGATATTTGTTAAAATCATACCCAGTTTAGTGATTTCTTACTTTGGTTATTAAAAACCATGTTTAAAAAACTAAATCATTATCATTGACTTTTATAGAAATGGCACAGCTAGCAATAAGACCAATAATTTCTTATAGGTTGTCAAATGAAATCTGAGATTCTAAACCTCCAGGAAATATATAAAATGATAACAATGACTCAGACATCGCATTACGACAATGTTACCATTAACACTACATGACTTAGAAGAAGGGTGATATCACAATTATAAAATTAAATACAAAATACAGGATAAAGACCACCTCAAGCTTCCTGAAAGTAGTGTGGTATAGACCATTAGACTCACAAGACAGTGGACAACTGGTAAAGATAATAGACAATCACACATATATGTACAAACATGAACCAAAACAATACCTTCCCACAGATATCTTCTCCCCCAGAGGTAACGACTTTTAAAATATCATCAGTGACTTTTATAGGAGTGCCACGGCTACATGTTGTAATGAGACCAGTTCTTATAGGACCTGGTCAATCATTGTTGAACAAGTAAATGCTAATGATTATGGATGAAATCTGAATGCAACACTCTTTTTGATTGATAACTTTGTTACCTTTTTGCTCCGCATGTAGCGCTGGGATGCAGCCAGTACGGCACTCACAACCTTGGGCGTGTTACCGGTAGCAGGTAGGTTGTTATCTTTTATCTGGAAATTTGAACAGGAAAGAAATCATCTGGCTACACAAAGTAGACTATAAGGACTGCTGCATCAGTAACTTCAACAGATCAAAATAGCATCAACTAACTTGTGGGCTAGAACTGGACCAAGTAAAGATGCATACTATTTATCTACTACCTTAACACTACAAATGTATTTGGCATACTATAGTATACAAAAGTACATAATTTTAAGAACAAGGCTACTCATCCTAGATGAAATGGTTGAACATTTCAGTCAATACGACCAGAAATGATACTGATGAAGATTGCTGGATATCGGTCAAAATATCTAAAACTAATAGTTTTATTTCCAGCGATTAACTGCTTTTTGGCGCATTATTTCCAGTTGTATGGATTAAACCAGGATTTATACTATATATATTTAGGTATACTTATATATATATTATATATTGTAATATACGAAAGACTTACACATCTGTTGACCATCTGCACGATGTACTTCTCCTCCACATCACTGCTGAGCTGGCCGAAGTCCCAGACCAGCGGCAGCATGCTGGGGGGGAGGGGCTGGACACGGTACACCAGCTGACGTAGGGGGATGTGACCTGAACCATTCAGATACTTCATCATAAAACTAAAATGGTACATTGTAACATTTGCAAAATTATGCGAAATTTTTTTCCAATGTTTACCTTCACATGGGAATGCTCCAGCTCAATAAACTACGGTAACTGTTCTGTTTATTCATACTCAAACACATCCATATATGGTGACCACCCTCCCTAACTCTGTCCTGCAACTTGCTACATAATGTAATGTAATTCAACACCACAAGGTGCTGCTACATCACCTGTCCAGTTACCATCAATGGTGACAATCCTGTGGTGACAGTCAACTGCCATAAGATCTAAAAGTTTTCATCATGGCACACTGGGTTTAACTGTTGGGGATTGAATAAAAGAACAACTCCTTTTTGGTTTCTATACATTACTACCAGCGATATTCTTCTTGATTATCGTAAGTAAAAGATACATACCAAACCTGTCCTTTGTCTCTGTGGCCTTGATATGGTAGCCGAGTCCTGCCTCCTCCAGCCTCCTGATCATGTCATCTGTGTGTCTGAGGAGAGAAAAGCATGTAAAAAAAAACACATCATACATGTAGACACTGTTATGTTTTTAAAAAAATTACCCTGATTTGTACAAAACTACTCAGGAATCAGGCAGATTGGTATCCTTAGAAGTATTTTTCATTTTCTCTGACTATGATATAATAAATCATCCACAACAATTTATTTTGGGGGGATTTTCTTCACTCTATCCTTTCATAATATATTCTAAAACTAGAAAGGCCTACATTTGCTTTGGAGCAAATGTTGCGGATGGCTTCACCACATTTTACGACATGGCAGGGAAAGAAGGAGAAACACAAGGGAAAACAATTCTTTTAATTACATTGATATAACTATAGTATGAATTAAGTGACATCAGTTGGATAGCTACATTGTACATGTATCCCTACATTATTTGTTAGGATTTTTGATTGCATAAAGCCATAAAAATCAGAGAACCAACAAATTAAATTAATGTGGCCTTACCTCCTGTATGGGTTAATGGCAGCGACGATCTTGAGACAGCCGTCCTGCCTGTTGAGAGGCTGTCCTGCGATGGTCCCGTCACACATGATCTCCTTTATCAGCCCGATGGCCTCTGTGGTGTTGGCCTCATCAAAGAACAGCACAGTGTCAATGTTGTGCCTGTCCCTGTTGACTCTGGCGGTCTGCTGAGCTCTCTCCACCTTACGTATGATATCCTCTGCCCTCACTCCACCATGGACCTGTTGGATATTGTAACGTATTTACCTTCATCTTGTAAACATAAATCAACACAAATAAATCATTGCTGTTTTGGGCGTGACCGTGAGCTACCTGGCTTGTGTCCCAGTTTTTTTGTTGCAAAACCTGAATGAAGCACGCAACTGGACTTTGGCTTTGACCTGTAGTGCCTAGTATTACTTGAAAGTTGAAATCTTGTGTCAAAAAGTGTCTTCTTTATTAGAAGAAATATGGTTACCGTAGTTGAATATTTTGCTAGTACATGTAGGTTACCAAAGAAGTAAACACACTGTAGATGGAATAAACTTGAAATATAAAGTCATGTACATTGTATACAAAATCAACAAAATTATGTACTGCCTACAACATATCTAGTATCTCATGAAGTGATGGTTGAATGGATTGATCAATCGATTGATCGAATGATTCACGAAAAAGGTTCCTAACTCTTTTAACTTTTAGACAAAGCATTGAACAACGTTCTGACAAACCTTCATGATGATCATATTCTCTGGATGTTTCTTGCCCTTGACGTGGCCTGCCTGAAGGTCACACATGAACCTGATGAGCCTGGTCTTCCCACAGCCCGTCTCTCCCATGATGATGACGGGGATGTTACACCTGGTAGGGGGATAAAAAGCCTTGAGATACAACATTCATAGTTGAGTCATTGCTCACCGAGTCATCTATATAACGTGACATCACAGAAGCAGTGGATTGCTCATTCCAAGACTGAGTAAAAAATTTGGGTAAGTCCAATTCCTTGTGTTGGAAATTACAGTTCAAACCTGCTTCATATTAACACTGATTGCTTGCAGTGGAAACAAGTCTTCTTAGAATTTCCATTCGTAGCAGAGGAGCCCCAACCAGGACAAATTGTAAGGGGATGGGGGGTGGAAGGCTAAGGAGATACATGTATGTGTCATCTACATTGTACCTGATCTTGATCTTGATTGGATACTGCACAACACCCCTAAATTGGGGTAAAGCGTGCATAGCAATAAGCAAAGAGTGGGATTTTGGAGGGAGGCAATTTGAAAAAAAACACCCAAATACACCATACTCATAGGAAATTCAAACTCTACTACAACTGGATAAATTACGGAGATAATATCCGGATGTTTCAAGTGACATCCACCACTCTTAATCAGCATCACTAATGAACAGAACTGGAAAAACCGGTTGAACATGACAAAGGTCCATAAGGTCATTGATATGTAAAGTACATACGGTAGTTCCTATGGTTAGACAACACCATTGGAACTGCTACTGTCCTTTAGGTTGTGACAGGTCGGGGTCCCATGTACTCAGGCTCTACACGCAGTCCTCCCTTCCCAAATACACCATATGTCATACGTCAAGGGAAACCCCACCTTACGTCCCTCTGGGCATCGCTCAGGACTTTTTGTCCATACATATACCTTAACCTTTCTTCAAAACTCAACCGGAGGTAAGAAAGGATGGGACACTAACCTGAACCTCATCTGTATGGCCAGGATCTTCTTGACGTTGTCTGTTGTTAGTTCGTAGGATGGGTCAGGATCATAGAAAACATCGTGAATGCCCATCACAAAGCACAGCTTCTGGATTTTTTCAAACCTGGAACAAAATTGACAGTACATTTATGACAGTTGCTCATTCTGGATACCATACTTCTTGGTTTGATTGATAAACTCAAGTAATGCACAGTTTCTGCAATTTCGGCCACTATCCAGTAACCTTCATCAGTGAAAAAAAGGTTGACACAGTCACACACTTTCTTCAGATTGTTAACTCCTTCCTCTATCCAGGAAATAGACACACAAAGACCCAACACAGTCTCTGTCCTTTCTCACAGTGTATTCACATCCAGACTCTCATTCCAGAGTGATCCCCAGGGGGACCCCCGCGCATGTGCATAAGAGCTATGGCGGGAAGACCATAGCTCTAACATTCCCTCTTCTTTCTTTTAAGTGCAACTGTCTAAACTAGCTAGCTTTCTACAAAATAACTGTCTACAGAATAATTATGCTGTCTAACAAACATTATATTAAATAACTGTACTGTCTACTAAACATCAGTATATTAAGTAAGTCTATTGAATTATGCTGTCTAACAAACATTATATTAAATAACTGTACTGTCTACTAAACATCAGTATATTATAAGTAAGTCTATTATCTACTGAATATCTGTAACAACATATATTCCCTCTCTTGTCTTTTTGGCATTGTCTACGAAATAACTCATGGAGGGAAAAAAATCCATTCTGTAGCTTTTCTAACCGTTAGTATTGCTAGTATTAGGCAGTGGGTTATACAACTCTCAAAAACATATCAGTGACACCATTTTAGATGTATTACAAGCTAAAACTGGGTCATTAGTTCCATCACACTGTACTGTGCTGTAGCACCAGTCCTGTAGTTACTACCTGTAAAAATTAAACAGACAGTTGACATCATTACACTGTACTGTACTGTAGCATCATTCCTGTAGTTACTACTGTAACAGTACTACCTGTAACACTAAACAGACAGTTGACATCATTACACTGTACTGTACTGTAGCATCATTCCTGTAGTTACTACAGTACTACCTGTAACACTAAACAGACAGTTGACATCATTACACTGTACTGTACTGTAGCATCATTCCTGTAGTTAACCTGTAACAGAGAGTTGGCATTGACTCCTTTCTTGGTCATAATGTCAGCTAACTGGTATTGTCCTGGAGTCCATTTCAGTGTGACATTGGAACGTTCGACCAGTTCTTTGATGGCTGAAACTTCAATTCTCAGGCGTTTCTCCAGCACCAGACTGGTCGACTCCACCGCTTGCACCAGACTGCGGTTGTCAGTGACTGCCAAGATAGGCACTGTCTGCGCCGTGCTCAGTTGGATGATTTCACGCAAGTATACAGCCTCTTCCAGGGCATTTGACATGGCTAGAGTTTCTGCTGCCAATGTGCTACGACAGACCCTTTTGATCCTGCCACTGTGCCAAGCTACATACCGTATTTTAACAGATATGTTTAGCCCTAATGTTTATCGATTTAATTCTAGTTACCCTAGTATTTCTTATATCTAATTTTTTTATTGTAAATTGATCGACAATGTACTTATGTATTAATAAATGCGTGTTTGTCTTGTATATTTCGGCAAACTAGACAGAGAAAGCTAGGTCCCGCAATTGTATATGTTTGTCTTAAAATTTAAACTGAAGCTGAAACTGTTTATTCACATTGATTGGCAGCCAATATGCATTGCTTGGCTGAATTGCACAAGTAATTACATGATGATGTATGTGTCTATTGTGTATATTTATATATGATGTCGCAATATCAGCTATCAGCTGCCTGGCGGCAACATTGTATTGCCATGTTGCAATTTCAAATAAATAAATCTTACCATAAACCTTTTCACTGATGAAGATCAATGGATAGCAGTTAAAATATCTGAAACCTTGTCTTATTTATAGTTGTATCGATTAAACGAAGATTTATTATTATCATTGTCAGTACTTGTGTCTATATACAATCATGTCCATGCATTAGTTACAACAAAATGTTCTACAAAATAAGTCGACGATGGCAACTTTGCATGTTATTATTTATACACAATACACAGACCCAGTTTGTTGAACTTGTTTTTTGCTCTTTCATTAAGTAGTCTTTTTGTATGTAACATATCTTGTGCCACTTGACAATGTGTACGTAGAAGTGAAAGTTACCTTGTTAGGTCATCAAAGTTGACATTGAACTTGAGACCGGGCTGGGAGGTCAGTCCCTGGTACAGGTTACCAGATATGACGTTCTGCTCCAGAAGCTGTCCGGAGGCATCGATCACACTCCCCGCACGGTCCACATAGAACCCCAAGAACGTCATGGTGTTGTGGTCAGCATTGAAGAACAGGTACGGGTGAGGGCTGTGGGCAAGAGAGTTTACAAAATCAAAGATCTTTAAACGAACACCCCAGCAGATCTAGAACAAGCTGCTAGGGGGCCCAACTTACTATTCTGATTCACTTCTAATCCAGAGCGAAAGAGCTACATACATGTATGTGTCTACCATGCAAAATTTGTGACCCCAGCATTCATGTACAATGTTATCTACAACACGAGATATCAAAACTGAAAGTTTGAGAGCAACCAATAGTAATAACACAACATCCTGCCAGTGTCTCAAGGTCTCATCAAGATCTACAGAATATACCTAAAGAATATACCTACAAGTTATTGTGTTTATGCACACACACACACACACACACACACACACACACACACAGCAGACCACACACAGGCGTTAGCATACTTGTCTTTACTGCTGAACACTAGCCACACACACACGCGCATACAAACACACATTAGCATACCTGTCCTTGGTGCTGAATGCTATCCACACACACACACACACACACACACACACACACACAGAGACACAAAAGCACACATAGACGCACACAGCCCTTAGCATACCTGTCCTTGGTGCTGTATGCTATCCACACACACACACACACAGACACAAAAGCACACACACACGCACACAGGCGTAAGCATACCTGTCCTTGGTGATGAATGCTATCCAAAACCACACATCCACACCCATCACCAGATTTTATGCATCCCTAAATACAGCATACATTAGTAACGAAAGTACATTTGTACCTGTTCTCCCAGGTTCTCCTGAGTTGGAACTGCTGAATCCCTGCCTGTTCCTGATCATCTGAAGGTGCCGCCTTCAGGGAAGGGCTCTGGTCACTCATGTTCAGGGATGGAGTAGCAAAATCCTGGAGAATTTTGTGACACATGTTGACATATAAGCATGCCAGATACTACTCTCAGCTTGTGCAGATGTTTGCTAATCATTATACAGTCATGTAGTACTCCAGTCATGTAGGGTCAACAGTGGATTGAATCAAAATGTTGTACTTTATAACCGTGCCGATAGATTGTAATTATGTTTATTCTCTAACTATAACTATAACACAATGTCAGTAGATACGGCAGGCAGCTGCATTTACGGAAAAAAGTGTGTATGATGCATGTTGTCATGTGACACTTCTCTGGCTCACATAGAGCAGACAACCTGGTCAATAAAATGCAGCAGCTAAACTCAACAACAGCACCAATGATGTCCATATTTCTGTATTTTGTACAAAACGTAAGTTTATAAGTATCTGTATTGGTCTATAATGTGACAGTCCTCTCTCTCTCTCTCTCTCTCTCTCTCTCTCTCTCTCTCTCTATCTCCCTCCATTCCTTGCTCCACCAAATCACAGGAGCTCGAGCTCGTTCTATAAAGGATACAATGCTCTATTATGGAAAGTTTTCCATGAAGAGACAGCAATTAAACACTCCTGCTACCACTGGACCAACCATTGGTAGCAACAGTCCCCCTCATTAGGGACAATGTTCCTCATCAGGGGCAGGTTTCAGCTCTCCCAAACAGTTACCGGCCTATTGTGAAGTTCTACAATAACAACGAAATAAGACTCCCTTTTGTCACCTTAAAGCTTATACCAACAAATCGGGTTGGCAACAAATGCCCTTATTAATGACAATCTTCCTCATACGAGGCAGATTTCAGCTCTGCCAAACTATTAATGGCCAATTGTGAAGTTGTCAATAAGAAGCAAATGAATTCATTATTACTACCTCAATTTTGCACAGATCACAAACTTCCTCATCAGATGTACACATATATGTACATGTATTTTTTCGCTCTGCCAAAAGAATTACTGGCCAATTGTGAAGTTCTCAATAGTAGGCAAATGAGATCAGCATGTGCACATGTACAAGCCACACGTTCCCTGCCCACACAGCTCAGACAGCCTTTACAGTTAGACACGGCAACATCTTCCTCCAGCCTTCTTCTGACCACCAACAGCAACACAGGCGTCCACTGTGTTTGATCTCGCATCCTGCTAAAGTCTGGCCCACAGGCTGCGTTTGACAAGAATCAGCTCCACCATGTTCAACAACAGCACTGCCCATCCGTCGGTTACTACGGAGACACCATCAGACGACAGATTTGACTGGCAGCTCTCCTGCATCCTGTGGCACTTACGGAACGAGACCGTGTCCTACGACCAAGCCAACGATGCCTGCTCCATGTACAAGTCTCCTGGAGAGTTGGCAGCAGGTACCAAAGTCTTCTACTGGCTCACAGCCATTTTCACCATCATCCCTAACTCTGCTATGCTGTGGGGAATCATTGGAACACGAAAGCTCCATAAACCGCTCTATTTCTATCTGGCCAATCTTGCCGTGACAGACCTCCTAGCAAGCATTGCACTTTTGTGTCAGAGTGTGAACTGGTTGGGAATGGGAGAGGGAGTGGCCGGACTGTATGCCTTCATGAACATTCTGACTCTATTCATATACAGTCAGCTCATGTCTGCCTCGGCTCTAGCCCTACTGTCCATTGATTCCTATGTCGCTATAAGGCATCCTATATATTTCCACACCCACGCCCACAGTGCCAAACGTAATGCAGGTATAGCCATTGCCTCTTCTTGGATTGTTCTGTCTTTGTTGGCTTTTTCACCAAGTATGGGTTGGAACTGTCTGGACATGCCAACCTTGGAGTGCTATCATTTTTTCTCCCGACCCTTTGCTGGTCTTATATACACCATAATCTTCCTTTTTGGCAGTATTATACTATTCACAAACACCAGTGTATATGTGGCAATTAAACAACGGCAAAAGAACAGGCTTGGGCAGCCGGGTCAGGTCC